ACAACTGAAGCCACATCTGAGTTCCGAGATGCTGCATGCTGCAGCGAGAAGCCAACGAAATAGGAAAGAATTTAAGTGGTTGACATTCAACAAAGACCATTACTTGGACTTAAATACAAAACAACACAACATGGAACAAACTTCATTCCGCCAAGCAACAAGGGACAGTCCAATGGATGCCAACCCTGGATGCTTTTTGTACCACACATTTCTACCCAAAAATCCTTTAAACTTAATAAGCATACACTAGCAAACTTACACTTTCTTTTAAATGTTTAGAAGTCTTTTCCATGTTCTATTACTGCTTAATGCAGTTGAAGGTGTTTATTTGGGTTTTGGACCACGTGAGCAAGCCAGAGTGATCTTACACATGGATAGGAAGAAGAAGCTAACTCTACACAGACGGGACAGCAATATCTGTAAACTATCTCCTATTGTACATAGGATACATTTTATCTGCAAGGATATTTGTATGTTAATGTTGATATGAATTAACTTTCTTTCCTACAGTGTTGTATGTTAAAAACACTTAAAAATCAAATAAAAGCTTAAAATTTGATAATGATGGATGTTTACATCAAGGTTTGTGGGTTATGAAGAGCTACCAGAGTTTTGGTTTTCTAAAGGAATGCTGTAAATAAACTTAAACCAATAAGGTGTGACTGTAAAATTGTATTTTACCATCACACCTTCCAAAATCAATGCCAATGATGGCTCACAAATAAATTTAAAAAATCCTTGGGGTCCCGCTGCTGGCTTAAGCAGGTTCAAAAGAAAATATATACACTTTTTTTTTCATTTCTGAAACAGTCTTTATCTTCACAAGCAAGAGGTTACTGAAACAAATCTATTTGTTGTGTGGTCAGCTGAACTAACAGCCTTTTCTTTCCATCTTTACTGAATACAGTGTAGAGAGAGATTGGGAAGATAGTGAGAGGAGACGGCAAACACATTAGGAGACACACACACACACGCGCTTTCACAAAAGAAGAGGGGTCCCAGGAGAGGTGTCTCAGTGGAGAAGGGGCTGACATATGGCCAGCAGACCACTGCGCTGGGTGGGGCAGTGCAAGTGTGTGTAGTGTATGAGGGTGGGGTCTGATGAGGGTGCAGATGAATAGCCCAGTGGTTAGAGACAGTTGAAACTCAATATTCATTTTCACTGTTGCCCTTTAGATTCAGATAAGTGTGTGCGCTTTCCGGTGTGTTATTTCAGACAAATAACCGAAAAGTTGACTTCAACTGAAGACAAAGTTCAAATTTCAAGTGTCTAAATTGATCCTGTTTTCAGTTATCTTTATTTTTCAGCATTGTACAGTGGTTTCGTTGGTTTGTTAGTCTGGGTGACAGACTCAGCTACAGTATAAACAAACCTCTGCGAATGTGGGGACCAAAGGAAGAACCGGATAAATTCAGAGCAGGTCGTCTTGGAGGGTCAACCTCATTTCATCAACATGTGGGAATTCCTCCACTCTGCCAGCCAATTCCTAAACATAAACACATACAAACACACAGACACATGCACACACACAGAGCCAGGGGTTGTTTGATGGGCTATTTGACTGAATGGCCTATCGTCATGGTTACAGCAGCACTCCATCAGTCTATTCAAGGAACAGATGGCCGATGTGCAACAGGAGGCATATGTTTCAATGAACACACACACACACACATACACACTCACAGCCTCGCATTCACATGAGGATGGACACACAAACAGTCTCCTTCTCACACAAACACACACAAACGCACACACGCATGGATGCGCCCCCGCTCAGAGGGAGGGTATTGAACAACCAGCAGCATATGTTCCACTAGTCAGAGAGCATTCATTCACGGACAGACGGGGGTGGTGATTGGGTTGGGGGCTGTGGAGAGATGGAGGTAAGCAAAAGGCAAAAGACTGAGGGAGAGGGATGGACGGAGGTGAAAAGGGATAAAGACAGGGAGGGAGGAGGGTTTTTGATTGGACGAGAGCGTGAAGATGAGGGAGTGGTCAAACATCTCCTGCCTACTGCTGGAGCAAAAACACAGTGACTCCAAGTGATGACGCTGACATGTTTACCCACGATGGAAATCATAATGTGTTAAGATTCATCCAAACTTTTCACCCTATCTTTAGTATTTGTGATTGGGCCAATTGCCTGATTATAATTTGACAGGAAAAGTATTCTGTGTTCTACCTTAAGGTATGATTGCCCCATCGGGGTAGTGAGCAGTTCCACATAATAATGTGTACAATGTAATAACACATCTTTGAAAAAAAGAAGAAAAGAATTATAATAATGATTCGTGAGAAAATAAGCAATTTCAGGAGTTGCTCATTCATTGCAAAATGTTTATATTGGCGCCATTTCTCTTTGAAAGAAATCTTAGAAACAATTTACTGTCATTTTAGGTCATTTAATATTTAAGTAAGTATTCCTACATTTACCATTTGATTGGTCGAGATCTGAGCTGTAAATAAAACATGGTCAATCAGAAATAGGACAAAAACCAAACTGACTTTTGAAAGATCATTTAAGTGTGATTTTCTGAACAATTACCTGCCAGTCAGATCACACATGTCATGCATTATTATCATTATTCCTCGTTCATTTTTTTGTCAGGTGGATCAAGTTGCTTTTTCACAAGTTTCAGACCTGTTAGTGTGCGCAAAATACAGATTTTATCTGCACAAAGTGAAGAGTTTGAGAAATATAATCCCTTCAAGCTATTGATACATTTTCTATATGACCAATCACCTTAGTTTTTGAAGTTTTATTGGAAAATAGATCTTGAGGAACTGCATGACCTGCCCAATAAAAGGTTAAAAAAAACACTAACAAGTGGACAGGTCTCCTTTTTTTGCAATTAAACAGAGAGGAATAAGTTTGTGCAACTGTCATCGGTTTTGTGCTTGAGGACACAAAACGAAATGTCACGAGGTTAAGCCTTAATGAGCAGCTTCAGACGTGGTTGATAGCCAGTGGAGAAGTTTAAAATGGGCTCTCGAGCACATCTCGGATCGAGGTAATGAATATACAAGTCCTTTTTTTAAATCTGGTTTATCTCCTCAGCTGGTATTTGCTCATTTTCTATTGCCTTCCATTACTGTCTTCCTTTTTCCAATTACCACCTCAGAGTTCTTTTCATTTCCACTGACCACATGCAATTATGCAGCAGTCAGCAGTGTGCTCACACTGGGTACTGCCTCACACAACGGCTTGGGAGTTTTTCCCTCTGTGCGATGGCCTCAGCTAAAGAAAGCAGTTTGTATTTACAGGCTGTTGTAAATACACAAGGGTTATATTTGTCCTCTGAAGCTCGGTGTATTTCTGGAAGCCCCTTTGGTGCGTGTCTCTGTCGAATGAAAAATGACAACAACAAAAAAAAGCACAGCCATTTCTGTCACCAGCATTCTTTCTTTGTGTACATTTGTACACAGGCATGCACACGCACACGTAAACAAGAAGCAAAGGATGAAGGGGTTTGTTGGGAGAATGTTTGGGCACCAACCAATGCATTGTGCAGATTAAAAGTCGGGCGGGCTGTTCACCCGAAATCTCTGAGGGTTCTCAAAGATCTTAGAATTCATCATATTTTTCTAATTTAATGTTCAGATTGTAAGTCTTGGACAAAGATTTACAAAGAAAATTCCAGTTTAACTGTCGTAAAACTGCATTGTGAGGCCAGTATAGATTCACACTTGAATAGTAAAGCTGTCTGCTGTTTTTTTTTAAGACTCTCCACCTTACGTTTGTCTTTTCCTAATCAGTTTATATCCTGAAATAGGTTTCTTTCAAATAGATGCAGTTCACAGACCTGTTAAATTAAAGATCAAGAAGGGGTGAAAACTGCCATTGTAGTTACTTTGACAGAAAAGTGTCTTTGTGGTGCACTGGCCATTGATCTCACAATCCCTTAAATGAAATGCCTCTAGGCCATGGTGGGTTAAACCAGTGGACTTCTGGTTTGATGACCTGAGCAGGAGAAAAATCTCAGATAAGACAAAAACTGCTACACAGACTGGGGCCAATTGATTACTGCCATTGCTGAGAAAGGAGTCCTTAACCAGTCTCAGGGAGGAGGACGCAAAAGAGGGCTTGACTGTCTGTTTGTCTCTCTGCTGCCGGGGGGACCACACCCAGACCTCCACCACACACACACAGGAAGCCGATCTGTCAGGCAGCCAACAGGGTTTCCTCTGGTTTAGGCAAAACTAGTAACTCTCAGACTACTTGTGCTCTGAAATCCCCAGTCTTACATTTTCTCTCCTCTCCCAGCTTCACCTCCTCTCCTCTCATCCTGTTTAGTCGACTCTCTAGTCTTCCATCTCGATATTCTTTCCCTTTGCTGGCCATTATTCTCAGTGTCTGTCTCTTCTTTCTACTATAAAATCCTTCATTTCCCTCATACTCTCTGTTTAACTTTCCATCCCTCACTTCCTCCTCGCCACAGAAAACATCCCTCCTCCTGTTATTGTTATCATCTAGAAGGGGCGACTGGAACCGACTTGTGTATGTGTGTTGTGTGCTCCACCCTTGTGCGTCCTCCTCCTCACACACACACACACACTTACTCCATTTGCCATTTCAACAAACCCCCAAAACACCCACACACTCTGTTGTTTCTTCTGCTGCCACTGGACTAAAGAAAGTAAGGGAAGGGGCGCTGTGGTCACGTGTCATTAAAAATAGGTTTTACATGTAAATCAGGATCAGTGCTTGGCTCTCTAACCCATTAAACCTAAGGCATAAATGGTAAACACACAGGCCTTTCACTCCTGTGCTTCATAGTGTCATGTTAAGAGTCTCCTGCCTAACACGTTGTATGTTTGATCATTCTTTGGCTTAAACACAGACTTAAACACTTTAATATAACTGTCACAGTACAAAATAAAGCAGTAATTCAATCACTTACATTTTGTTTTCTATACAGGTGTGAGTGTTTCTGTCCCTTAAGGGGCAGTGTAACACTGCATTTCAGTGGACTTCCTCTGTGAAGCCACTTAGTTTTAGCATTTATTTTCATTAGTTGGGTAAAACACACACTACTCTGCTTACAGGCGTGTGCATAGACAAACAGAGGAATTAAGAGTGCTGAGGCTGTGGGACTTTCTCCGCATCCTTTTCCTTTGTGGTTGGTTTTACGATGTTCAGGTTGCTGCCGGAAAATGGCCAGCTAGGCTACACAAACTATACATTCCTCATCAACCTATAAAACACACTATACTAATACTGACAATGGCATCCTCACAGTGTGTGGAAAATACTTAAAGCACCCACAGATCTGCGTCACTACTGAACCATGACTGAAAACACATGCTGCTGTTGACAGAATATTCTAAACTTTAATAATAAAACATAACAAGATGACATAAAAAAGGATAATTTTAAAAAAGCACATAGAAAAACAAAACTTAACACATTTGCTTGGGTATTTTAGGAATACTGAACTGTTGTGTGCGCCAGGCCTCTCCACTGACCCCTAAGATTCCTTGTTTTTTGTCTTGCCGTTTGTTCAAAGTGTTTATGAATAGTAAAATTTAGAGGATAATGTTAAACATTTTGACACATTAGTGTGGCCAATCATTCAATTCATGCAACACATTTAAAAAAGAAATTCTTTTCCAATAGCATCCATTAAAGACAATTAAGTGTTACACCATTGTGTTTGACTAAACATCATGGAGGCGGGCTACTGAAGGTACTGGGTCTTTCTAACCATTTATTAGATGACTTCCAAAAAGTTATCATTCTGTTATAGTAAAAACATTTAAGTCAACCTGAAGAAAAGCAGAAGCAGTTTCCCTTTTAGTATAAACTGGGGAATCATTATGCAAACCCCTTACACGCAATGCTCTTCCCACAGTCCTGTGGACAAACACTCCCAGCAGATACTTCACTAATCGGTTTACTTTCAGAAATTAAGATTCTCTGTCCTTTCATTTAGTCTTTTCCAGCTTCTTAATTTATTAAGTCCTTCCTTTGTGATCCTTATGGAGCAGGAGGATAGGACCACCTGATTCAGAGGAAAAGTGGGGAGAGATTAGCTGAAAGGAGGAACACTGGTGACACTCTTGTGCCACATTGGTCATACCTCGGAGCAAGTTGGTATCGCCCTCTGCGGAGATGAGGTCGACCTCTGGACCGGTTTGGAGGTGGGACCGTGTTCTGGGAACGTCCATACTGGCAGCCAGGCTGAAATGAATAAAACTGTTGGCCTCCTGCTCTTTGTCCTCTGCCCCACAGTCTCCTGTCCACCCCTCTCTCCCTCCACACCTGTCCTCTTTGATGTCCCCAAGATGTACCTCCTCTTCCTCTGCCGCCCTCACCGACACCAAGAGGCCAACCTGAGGATGAGAAGCAAAGATTTAAGGCAGTTCAGACACAAGATGAATCAAATAAAGGACTGTGACTTATTTATTACAGATGTGGTAATGGAAACAGGCAGGATGTGCATTTGCTGTGAACTTCTATTAAAAAAAGAATGTTAAATATGTTCCACGCATGAATGAAAACATATCTAATGAGGGAGTGAGACAGAGATAGTCCTGCTGCAATGTTGTAACTGGATCTAACTGTTACTGGAAAATAACTTTCTTGTTGAGTGGGGCTGGAGCAGCAAGAAAATTCACTCATTTCCAGTAAAAATTTGCACACCAAAGAGTAAAGACAAAATGCTGCCGAAATGCATTTTCATGATCTTCCAGAATAGCTTTAATCTAGTTTGTGGTCTGAAATTACGGTCATTTTGTTTCTTACACCACGCATAAACACCATCTATAATGTCCCAGATTAACATTCAACCAGAAGTTCTTTAGAGTCTTTGAACCACTGAATGTGACCATTTGATTTCAGGAAATCTTCTGAAATCCAAAGAGCTCTGTTCTGTGAAGTTTCAACAACTGTTTTCTGTTCATGCACATACACACACACAAACATGCACACACACACACACACACACACACACACACACACACACACACACACAGAGGCAGCTTTCCTTTACAGTCTGCCTATGGTTATCTTAGGGATGCCCACATAACAGCACCAAAGCAAATGGCAGAAAAAGAGAGAAGACGCACACATGTTTTAAGTCTGACAGCTGCCAGACCTGTCCCAAAGAGATTAGAAGAAACTTATTGTTTCACAAGTTTTAAAGATGAAAGTCATTGACCTTTCCTCCACTCTTACTAAGTGATTGGCAGGTGTCTCTTTCCTGTTTTGCTGGTGTTAAATATATATGCTAGCATGTATAAAAGAAATCACTGAAACATGTTTTTAACATGTGTCAAATTAAAAATCTTAAGTCAATTACAAAGTACTGAAAATAAAACATACCAGTCCAACTTTAGGTTTCAGCTAAAGGGAGCTGTGGCCTGCTTGGCTAAATCAGTCTACCACACTCCATCTGAGTGTTGAAATGTGTGCCATGTGTCAGAGAATGAGTCGAGTCACGGACACAGACACCCACAAATTTCTAAAAGCCCCTTTTTTTTTACCTTTATGGAATTTGTAAAGGGTCAAAACAGATAAGATGAACTGATTTGTGCAAATTTGTAGGCATTAAGTGTCACGTTTCCAGCCGAAGATGTACTCCACAGCAAATGTGAGGCGGCCAGAAAGTAGGGTGGTTTCTCTTTAACTTTTAGTCTTTTTGGACAGAATTAAACTGGAGATGTGGGAGAGCTGAACTACTTCATTCACTGATGGAGTGTAATTGTGAAGGCAGGCAGAGAAGATATTTGCTGAGGAGACTAAACATCAGGCCCGGTTCCAAACACAAACCAAAGCGGGCCCTCAACGACACCACATAGCGCCACCGCTACTCTCACGCACACACACACACACACACACTTTATTTGCCCACAGTTCTGTAGTAATGATTGGTGTCTGTGCCTGTCAGAAATGAAGCACCGAGGTATAAGAAGTCAAATTTTTTCAACTATAAAACCAGAAACATCCTCATGAGACCCATGTGACTTTTGACTCGGGCAAAACCCAGAGAGTTAAGACACAAATCTGAAACTGTACAAGAAATGGCATAGAAAGAAACGGTCACAAAAGGTTTATAAGTGTTCGGATAAATAGAAACCCCAGGTTCATATTTCATAGGCTACCAGTGCATCCTCATTGACCGCTAGGCAGCACAGAGCCTAATCCACTCTGAAATATGCACAGACAGGCCACATTAACACAAACCCGAGATAGGCTAAATGCTGAGTTATGTGGGACATGTCGGAAATTTATTTTGGAGAGTTTAAAGTAACTGGAAGCGTGACAGAAAGGACTATGAAGAAATTAGAAAGAGACGGAGAGGCTATAAAAAGAGAAAAATAGAAATGCAGAGGGTAAAAAGAGCTGAGGGGAAGGGGAGCAGAAAAGGAGGAGGGACAAGAGAGGAGTCTGTAATCAGTTAAGTCTTGTTGTGTGTCTTAAAATAGAGCTCTCTCAACCTATAAACAGAAACCTACTATTACTGGTGCACTGACAAAGCAAGTCTTCATCTAAGCATATGTGCGTGTGTATGTGTACGAACACACACACACACACGGAGTGGTGTGGAATAAGTCTGCAGTACACATGGTCCTCATTACAACATGGCCCTCTGGGTAATGTGGTTCTAAGAGTGGCTTAAAGAACTACAATCAAACATCAACTGTCGGATTTAAATGACTCTTCTTCCTCACTGGCTTCAGGAGTGTTTTCATGTGTGCTTCTACCAATGGTTGCCTGTCTAGTTCTGCGAAAAACACTCAGAAAACTCAAGAAAACAAACATTAAGAAACTAAATGAAGTGACAAAACGGCTCAAATTTACAGCAACATTGTGGCACCTCTGCTTACTATTTGTCCCTGTTATTGGAATGTTTACCTTGGCGATAAATTCAGGAAAACCAGGAGAAGAAACAGGGGTTTGACAACAAAGGTTGTCCATATTATTCAAGGACGTGGGTTTCTTTTGAGTATGCATTCCAACCACATGATTACCAGGGTGTCCTAAAAACAGGATAACATTTCAAAATTCACGTGGAAGTCAAAACTTTTTTCCTCTCTCAACCTCCAAATAGGTTTCCAGATCAAAAGTCTTTTTCCAAAGAGTCCGTGCACAAATGGGGTGTATTTATACAACACGAAAACAACAGGGAACAATTTGCAGAGTGAATGGAGGAAGAAAAGCAAGAAGCATGAAAGGCATTAAACTACCTTTACAACAGACCACATGTCAACAAATCAAATCATCACATCCATTGTACTATTTAATTTGGGGCCTTAAATAATCCATGGGGGCAGTTAATATGTTCAAAACTGTATTGATAAATTAAAATTGTTATTGAAATTTAGATATTAGATCACATACATTTCCAGTGCTGTTCTTTCATCATCATTCTCTTTTCAATACAAATGTAATATCATCCAGAAACATTAAATCCATAAACAATACAGTTAAAAACAGAATTTCTAAAAGACCGAAAACGGACATCCTGATTTGCTTTGACTTTAGACCAAAATTGTGTTCAATGTCTTTCAAAACTGATCTCATATAATCAAAATGGAAGTCAGGAGGGATTTCCTCTGTCAGCAGTGTCTCACCTGGGCCTGTGTCTCTGTGTGTAACTTCAGGTGTGGCTTTACCACCTTGCTGTGGTCTCCTGGGACTGGACTGCAGGACTCTGCCTCTTCTCCTGCAGTTTTCTACAAGTTTTTCTTTTAGCTGAAGAAACTGAGAAAGGCAGGTGGGCTGCAAAGAAATGCAGACAGGTTTGAAATACTTGCACTGCATTGTTAATAAGTTAAGTAGAAGAAATAATGTAGATGCAAGTCACTGTCTTCTTTAAAAAATGATGATGCCCCCCTGTTAGTCATCCAGACACCACTCACGTCATTGTCCAGCAGCTCTGTTTCCTCTGCGCCCCCGTGTGCCAGCAGATACTTTGAGTGGAACAGCCTTCCATCGAAGCAGTGCCATGGCATCAGGGCAGCATTAGGCAGCGGGCCGCCGCTGGCAGTGTTAGCACCCAGCAGGTGGCTCAGGCCGCGAACATACAGAGATCCCAGCTGCACGGCACGGCTACAAATGAGAGGCAGCTGGGGACAGATAAAGATATTCCAGTTCGGTATTTTCTTACTGCTTTAACCTTTAACCATCGAACTGTGCAACATCAAAATATTTTCTTATTTGCAATGAGTGAAAGCTTTTGGTGCATAAAGTTCTGGTGCATTAGTAAAAAAACTCCAGAAGTGTTTGTTCAGTGTTTAAAAAATGACTGTCTTACATGACGTTGGCATACCAAAAGGAAAAAGAAAAAAACTGGTCTGGGAAGGGTAACCCCGCACAGCAGGCGAAGCAAAATGACATGACATTAAAAAACGCGACAGCTACTAAATCAGAGCTTAGCCGAGATCTTATGAATCCAGTATTAACCAAAGGAATTTGTCAGACCTTTGTGTTAGCAGATGTTAAGCAAACCCCCACAATGCAGAAACCACATGAGAGAGAAAATGGACCGATGACAACGTTGATAGATGATCTCATTTTTTTACTGATCACCAATCTGATCATAGCGGAGTGACTTTAGCCCTGACGCATCGATGATATCGTGGGATTTCCTTTGTACAGTAACAGAATGACTGGAAAACCTTTTAAGGGGCATTTGTATATCTGGACTAACCAGCGGTTTTTCCATTGGTGTTGTCATCTTTCAGGACAATACTGCCCTGATTCACACAGCAAAATGAGAAAAACCTGGACAAGCACAATCACTGCATAGTCACTTCATTACTGACCCCTTGTCCTATAAAAGTTTCCACTAGAAAAATAGATCAGAATGTAAAATAGATGTGTTTAAACAGGTACTGCCACAAAGGAAAGAATGAGTCAATATTAATTATGCAAATGTGTATTAAAGGTAGTGTTTCCACAGTTTTTTAACAATGAAATGTAAGCTTTTTACACTCTTGAAGCCTTAGATGGAGGCCCCTTTGAGGTTGTGACCCCGTAATGCTGAACATTTAAATACCGAGAACTACAGCACAGTCATCTGAAACCAACCGTTTTTTCCATTTGTATCTATTTGAGATGACTAGAAAAAAACTGTGTTTAAATGTACACAAAATTATTCTCTAAATGCAAGACAGACACTGACAGAGAACCATTTGAATACATTCAACAGTATATTCTACATGTAGATATACAGATAAAATGAACAGGTTGTTCATCATCTACATAAAGGTGTTGCTGGTAATGCTGGTAAGGTAGTAGGAGAGACTGCCCTAAGGCCATCCAACCACAAATCCTCCACAAGCAAATTAAATATCAATCACACATCCTTGTTTACAAAACTTTCAAACCACAGCTTAGCGATTCTGTAGTTAAACATTTACAGGATTGTATAAATTTTTAATGACGGTCTTAAAATGCGCACCACAGGTTGCACATGTAGCCAAAAGAAAAAAACCTGTTCAGGCAACAAAGAATAGACTTTTTGTCTTCTACAAGTCCTGTAGTAACATTTTAAATGAACTGGCGAGTTGAGTTTGTGTCACACATTTCCAATCTCTACATATACGTTGTAAAAGGTAGATGTGTGTGTACAAAATATAGATGATATCGGATGAGATAATCTAGTTCAATATCTGAGCAAAAGCATAAATGGTATTTCATTTATGTTAACATCCCAAATTCTCTTTGCAGCAGCAAAGGAGCGTAAATGCTCAACGTGCCTGCAGTGGTGAGTCAAGCACCAACCAACACACTAACCTACACACTGCTTTAATATCCCGTGCTGTAGCATTTCAAGAGTCCTGCTGCAAAGAGCCATGTGTTTCTTCAATATGCTCAGTGTTAACACCCGCAAGAAATTCCTAAACTTCTACCTCATATTTGCTAAAATAATCTACGATTCTCAACCCCAATTTGCACAACTTTATCTGCTCAACCCTGACATAAATCTCACAACTAAATCTGACTCAGGCCACCCACAGCGCTGTTATTTTACTCTGCCTTCCCCTCCTTCCAGCCAAAAAACATGGGAGATTCTCACTGTTGCTTTATTTACATGTCTATTTGCATCTTAAACATGATTTGAAATTACTATAATACCTTAATAAAGCTATATCTTGTCTAAGATACCTGATTTTTTTCCAATTGTATACTTTTGATCTCAATATAAGTTTCCAATGGTGACCGTTATCTTAACTTAATACAGTCAAACTTATCATCCAGATACTGCCGAGGGAAAAGGAAAGACGTCACTGGGGAAGATGATAACCACCTAAAGATGAAGCAGTTCAGAGAGGGCAGACTCTAACGACAGCAGGCAGATGTGTGTCTGCTCTCACCTGTCCTCTGGCAAACAGCACTGATAACAGTGATTATGTGAACACACACACAGTCCTGCCTGCCACCTGCTTCCAGTCAAACACAGCTCCATCTTCTGAAGACAATGGACCGAGACACAAAGGCCCGAAGGTGCACGCAAACACACTGACACAAAGGCCGAGGCCAAAAAGGAGATGGAGAGCAACATGGAGAGAAACAGAAAAGGAGAAAGTGGTCCAATGCTAAAAGACAACAAGAGAACACTCAAAGAGCCACAGACGAAGACGGCCGTGTGTGTGTCCAGAGGCGTGGAGTGTCTGCATGCGTGTGGTGTAAATAGCTCCATGTGGTGTGCGTCAGTGAGGACAGAAGGGCGACTGTCGCCAACATGCTCACCCTGTTGGACACACTCACCCACATTGTGAGGAATGCTGCAGAAAAAACATTAACGATCAAAGATGATCTAAAACAGTCACACTCTCGTCCTCTGTTCTTTTTCTTTTTGTGATCTGTTGCATTGGTATGAAGACGGATTTTCAGCATGCTTTGTGGTTTGTTAAGTGGAGAACTGTGCACACACCACCAGTGACTGAACATTTAACCCCCCCACACCTGAAGGCATACATGGCACACACAATCCAGTCATTAGTCACTTCTGCTGATGTGTTTCTGTGTCAGGCAGCATATTCAAATCAACGCCCTGCCCTAATTATTGTGTGGAAAACAGATCAGCAGCAAAAATACAAATTACTTGAGATAAGTATGGTAATTAAGCTGTAAAAAAATAAGTGGGGCTACAAATAGGGAGCAAACACAAGGTCTGCTTTCCCAGAGAATGGAAAAGCACAGCTGACTGTCTGATGTTTGAATCAGTGAGAAGTCAAATTCAACAAAACCAGCACTGCTGCAGCCTTGCTGATTTTATTCTGACCAAATTATTTTTTCAGAAATGAACTGATGGCTACATCAGTCATCTGAACTGTATAATTCTGGTGCTTGGCCTATCTGGTCTATTACATTTTATATCCTCTTGAGTTTGACAAAAAAAACCCACAAACAACCGAAATTCAGATTATCATAAGCCCATAACATACAGTAAGTCACTCTAAAGAATGGATACTAAAGCAAAAGACTTGAACATTTATTTTTCAACTTGAAGATAGTCAGCTTTACAACTTGTTTAAGGTCCCAAAAACTATTTTGTTTACTCTAAATAACGGCAAGACATTTTCTGTTTGCAGCGTGGGGCCCAAACAAAAAATAAAGTTTGTAAATAAATATGGTGGACAGCAACTAGTTTTTCTTTGAGTGCAACTACACATTAAAAAATCACGGGCCATGTGTGTCTGACCTTGGTCTGCTGAAGATCCTGAGGAGATTTCACTCTTAGACACACAGCCTGACTCAGGTAAGCATCCACATCCTCTTGAGACAAAGTTTGAACCTGAAAACACACACAAAAGCACACATGGGACGACGTGTGGTTAGCCATTTCAATCACAGCCCAGTGTCTCTTCTGTGTGGGTCCGTTTGTTTGGTCTGCTCGCTGTGCTACAATTCACAAAGAAAGAAACAATGTTGACAGCAGACACAAAGCTGCCCAGTAGCGTCTACAAAACAAACAAACCCTGAAGTTATTCAAATAGAAGAGTGAGAGCGGAATGTGAATGCAGCACTGATCAGACAACGGCTACTATTGTGTGTCAGGCTGTCTGCTCATCTCTGATTATCTACTCGTCTAACGGATCGTCTAACAAACTGCACTCACGTCTGTCTGTTGGTTTTTCATCTGTTTAAATCAGTGGCTGCCAGTCACCGTTTGTCTGTTTGACTAAAATTAGTGTCCATCTGGACTCCTCCCTGTCAATCGTTCTTCTGTCTGTTAAAGCCACTAATAGCACATGAACATGTTGAATCTTAAAGCACTAACATCATTCCCTTGAATATCAAACAGGACTTGTGATGGTTGAGTAATATTATACCATGTCTTTAAAGACATCAGGAAAATTTACAACACAAATCACAGAACTGATCAATTACCCCGGAGTGTAATTTTTGTTTTGCGTTTCTATCTTTTATCCAGCTGTTTTGCTGAGCCTGAGATGACGTTGGTGCAAAATACACAAATCTCTGCTTATTTCACACCCTTTGAAAAGTGTTCATGAGGCATTAGAACAGGATCGTGAACAGCTGGGGTGTGTGAAGGAGAACATTTACAACCATAATAAAGACAAAATAACAATTAGATAAATTAGGAATTATCTCTTAAAATATTCAAAGCCTCTCGGTGTTTATCAGACTTGCAGTTGACGTAAGAGCTGGCGTTACAAAGATCTGAATCCAAACTGGGCTCTCAGTGGGTGACAGCGTCTACCCTCAACCAAAGGCAAAACAAGGCAGAACAAAGCATCTCCACGCAATGTTTAATTTCACATCAAGCGCTGACAAAAGAGCAGAGTAATTGTTGTGTATGTGTTGTAGCTGTAAACCCCAAATCCAAAGCTGACTCGCATGTTTAACTGACACCAAGTAAGTTTAGTCTCTCATATTGTGTTTGCACCAATCAGTACGTGTAGATTTAAAACCCATTCATCAACAGTGGAACTTCTTCATTGGAGCCTCTGGCAAACACACAGCCTGACCGCTCAAAACCAGAACACACATATTAATCACTGTGGGGATGTCATTGCTTTCAAAGTACATGTCATCAATGACATCTTTATGTTTTTTTTGTTTCTTTTTTTTTTACAATGGAGAACAGAACTTAAAAGAGCATTATCAGGAGAGTTTAAGCCAGGAAACACTTACCTGTCAGTCATATTGGCCATTTGTAACTAATAACGCAGACGTTTTTTCTGACTTAAATGTGAGTAATTATATAATAAGATATAATATACTCTTCTCGTGTTATCTGTGTACCTGTTCCCGGAGGATAATTTGTTGTTACAGACACATTTCACCCTTTTTTCTAGTTAAACTTTTTAAAAGAACAAAGTCTTTAATATATCTACTGATTAAGTAAGTTTACACCACCTGCAGGACTATGTATGTGTTCAGACAGAGAGCAGCCAGGGAGGAGTCCTCTATGGTTCCACACAATCCTGAGTACTCAAGGCAGTCAAAAATTGAAAGGAAGGCAGACAGGCGAAGAGTGGAAACTTCAGGACCAGTGCCGAACCATAACAAGTCCAGACTAGGCTTATCACCTAAAATTAGGACAGAAGAAAAGACACTCTGCAACAGATGCAAGAACAGGGTATCAAAAAGTAAAAGAATGCTTCTAAGCTTAACCAGGGTCAGTTAGTCAAAATTATTTATGACATGTCAGTATATCTATAAATGTATCTATTTATGTTTAGTATGTAAGCTGGCATACAGGGGAGGGTGATGGGGACAGGGGAGACCAGGTCAGGCTCTTTCAGAGGGTTCCCAGGGATGACAAACCATTCCTGAATCACTGGAATATCTACAGTGTTGCCTGAAAACACACAGAAGGTCCATATTTAATTTAGACTGACTCTCCATCACTGCTTGTCAGAGACATAAAACCATTCTAATTATTTGTTCAAATGGGCACTTAAAAGTCATATCACAAAATCCACAAGCTTGTTTTTTTCTAACACTAAAATCTTCTCCTGTTCCAGTCGACTTAAAGCCAAACAAATATATAATATTTCATGTTTAATGTATACTTTGGTGATTGTGTGTATGTCCTAGCTGTTTTACCATCTTGCCCAAGCAGCAGTAGAAGGCCATAGATGCGTTGTCTGCAGCACTTGTAGACGAGAGCCTGAGGCAAAAGTTCGGTGTCCTCCTCATCCTCCAAAGAGTTGCTACATTCAGTGACTCCAGCACACACAACATTGTAAACCATGAAACCCTCAGCTGCTACATGCTTCTCTCTACATGCCTGTGGAAACAACGCAGACAGTTAGCCATTCTGCAGTTTTGTACCATGAAATTTGCATTAGGATGTGCGGTTTGAATACACGTAAAGAATGACAACATACCTTTAATATTGCTGGACTAACGTATTTCTCAAAGGCAGGGGGGAGAGACGAACTGTAAACCAGCTCAAAATCTTTGTGCCCAGGTAGAAGGTAGGAGGAAATACCTTTCTTCAGCAGCTCTCTGTGAGGAGCTGACACATTTAAAGATTGTGGAACAAGTTCAGTTATGTCCTCTCTGCTGCCAAAAGAGCTCACAAACTGAGCGACCGCTAGCACCATCTGTCCCTGAGAAGCTCCAAAACGTGGAGCTGGTCCATTTCTCCTGTTGACAATAAAATAGAGCACTTACATTACACTGCTGAATTATTCTCTGCAGACAAAGTCAACTACGCAGGTCTTAAAAAGTCAAGATAATGATTTGTGTGCACAGCTCTACATCTTATCAAGACGATAAGACATAAGTTAATCTTTTCTATTGGTAAAACATTTATCTTATTCCAAAGTACCTGTATGTTTCCATGGCATTGCTCCTGATGTGCTGCATGTGCTCCTCCAGCACCACATCATTACCTAGGAGACAGGCCAGCAGAGGAAGCTGGGTAACATTCAACCCGATGTTCCTGCAGAGCCTCTGACGGTCGTACATGATGGTGGTGAGGCTGTTTACGCACAGCTTTGCCACGGACAAGTAGGGGACACTTAGGAGATGAAATAAACTACATGTTCAGATCAGACATTTTATCCATGTTAGCCATGACTAATCATTAACACAGCTTCCAGGATGGCATTTTAACATACACAAGCGATTCAAAACTACTTTTAAAATCCAAATATAGCAACATAATGAAACCTGTCATATATGATGAAGTCTGAGTCCTGTCCCAGAATGCCCATGCAGCCGTGCTGATGAGCATAGTTGGCAATCTCATAGTCCGCCTCACGCACTGAGCTAAACACTTCTTGACCCAATGACCTGTGAAAAACACCAATGATGGGCTTTTAAAATAAATGATCAGGTATGTTATTGAAGAGCACACATATTCTACATAATGGTAACTGCATCACAGACAGTTTTAGACATGCTGACCTGAGAGCAAAAGGTGTGAATGTTGCCAGAGCAGAGGGCAGACAAAAGAGATCTCTACCAGGTTGCTCTCCGTGTTCCTTAATGAAGCTGAATATCCTTGAAACATCGTTGTTCACTCTGTGTCTCCTTTTCACCTGCAGAACAGAGAGGAACCAGATACAGGGAGAATAGATCAAGATCAGTCTGGTTCCTGGAACAAAGCTTCCAAATATAATATCACTCATTTGGAATGCCTGTTTAAACATAGATACACTGTCGTTTGAAAATATTAACTAGATTAACCATGCAGCAACATCATTTGTGTCAAGACCTCACCCACTCTCGTCTCTTCTGCTCCTCTACAACACCATCAAAGAAAAACACCAGCCTGATGCCTGCAGAAGTAAAAGCCTCCACCCAAGTCTTCAGGACATTGACATAGTCCTTCCACTGGCCACCACACACCCAGTCTTTACACGAGTACCAATGGCGCAAGCAGGCCATACCGTCCACAACGAGTATGGGACCTGCAAAAGCAAACTGGAAATAGAAATAGTGCAGGCCCACGTTTACCCACCCCCTCCCCCCTCCAAATCTCAGATCTTTGAATTACATTAACATAGTTGAGCAATGAAATAATAAGGTCCAGAGATTGAGGTCGTTGTTATGCTAACTTACTACATCATGTCAGTATGTGTCCATCCAATGTCACAGTGAATACATAACAAGAAACTCAACTGATGTCAGCTGTAGATGTGGAGCCTTGCGAATTTTTGGCTAAATGTTGTCTGGCCATCTCTCTCAAGTTCACTGTCACACAAGCCTCTGGACAGCAGCGGTCCATAAAGTACTGCAGACCTTTCACTCCCATCCTTGCTGTGCAAACAGAATTACAAGAAACATTCACACGTAGTCGCCAGAAGATGTTTAAACTGCGTCTACTTTGTTTTCGTGGCACACTTTCGGATGCTTTATTTAACATATTTAAAATGGTGGACCTATAACACATAATCGCTGAAGGAGCATGACTTGCGTGGCATTTTTAATTAATTTTCAGTTCAGGGTTAAAAAAGCACAGACATGAATGCTAACTGTTAGCTTAGTTTCTAACGACTGCCACAGCATCTACGTGTTCCCTTCCTGTTCTTTCTAAGAGCTACTTTGCACATTGTGCAAAGGCGACAATCCATAATAAACCTTCGTGGGGCAAGAACTTACTTTAAAACCTTGGTGTGCTTGTGTTGCATTTGTCTGTGCTGTTTACTTGGGTAAATTCAAACGACTTCCTGTTATGTGCGGGTGACGTAACCGCGTAGCAAAACAATGTACACGTGCTCAGCGCACGGTATCCTCGGTTCAGCAAAAGCTTCATAAACATACTTGTAAAATTAAAACCTTTGTTAAAGAGTAAGTATAGAAGCTAGATGTAGAATACCTATTGGTGCAGCTGCAAACAATTCACATTCTAAAGTGTCATGAATGAGAATGAACTATTGTGGTTTTGTAGGCTCAGGCAGTACTCATATAACCTCTCCAGGCAAGGATAACTGAGTCTAATTGCTCTCTGAGAGAATGGGGGCTCTTCTTAGGAGTCACAAGCTATTAGGTCTACCTTCTCATCTCAAAACACCCCCTTCCTATCCACTCTATTGTCTGCCCTAAGCAGTAATCAAGAAAGGGACATATGCTGGTTGTCAGTCCAGCTGTCAGCATCTGTTGTTTCTCAGCCAGATGCTCTGAGTACTTCTAGGACAATCCTCCTAAACAACTGATATGCATCCCCAACAACTTACTCATTGAGGGAGGAGCTGTGTTGTAAATCTTCTTAGCATGAGTTTTAGGCACACACAAAATTAATACATGTTTAGTCTATCTACAAAGGCCTCAGAATATACTGGTAAAAACATTCATTCTTTTCCTCTGCCGAGTCTAGTAGATGTAGATTACACAAATTAGGAGAAAAGAGAGATAGCACGGAAGAGTACTGTGTTCCTAGCCTTTGAAAAAACTTTTTTTTAACATTTCTTCCTATTTTTGCCAACAGATTTAACGTTCATTTATCACATGATCTGTAATATATCCTGATTTGTCATTGATTGTGCAAGAATAAAAAAAAAAACAGAAGTGTCTACAAGTAAGAAGCTGAAGCCTTTTCCTTCTTATAGTTTTTTTCAAATATACTGAACAATACAGAAAATAAATACTGGGTGTATTTTTGTCCATGTGAAACTCAAGCAGAACTGAAGAATCTAAATGAAAGCGGAAGAACTAATATTCTAATTCTATTCAAACTTCCTGAGCTCTTTTGTAAAATTTTTGTCAAACAAGAAAAATGAGCACCTTGTGTACGTAGCATACACCTGGCTGTGGTGCATTATGCACATGTTCATTCATTCACCCCACACACAAAAACACAGTAACCAGCCATGAGAAGGAGCTTATACTCTATAATCCTTCATCCCATTCTCAGCACTAGGCGTTTGGGTCCGTTGCCTTTTCACGTTAGATCTTTTCAACTTCCTCCTCCTACTACACTGACTCTTCCTTCTCTTCTTCGATCCCCTGTGAGTACCCCCTCCCTGTCGCTATCCCTCTCCCGCCCCCCGGTCCTGACCAAAGCTTGACTCAGGAGAAACAGAGGCAGATGTTCGAGGAGCACACGACTGCCCTCAGCCCCACCCCACCCCCAACACCTCCCATTTGTACTGGATCAGCAGTTAACCCCCGGAAAGAATTGACCATACAAGCACGCACACACTCATACAAAGAACACCGCTGCCCAAATCTGTAAGAGCTCAACAGTTGTCCAACTGAATGAACAACTAAAACACACACCAAGCGCTGTCCAGATCCCCTCAGGTTTCCTGACAGTATCCACCCCGGGGTCAGGCCTGGTGTCAGCGTCCAGGGCCCAGGGTCTTTGTGGGCAGCTGGCCTGGCTAATCCGGCTGCTGGAGGCCTCTGCATCTCAAACTAAAGGCTAAGAACCCCTGGAGGGCCACAGGGCAGGCACTTCAGGGATGGTGCATGTGTGATCTGCTTAAAATGCATGTGTTTGCTCACTTGTTTTAAGTCCATATAAAATATCAGATGCCCAAATGAACTGAAAAGTAAACACAGCCCTCACATTGGATTTCAAAAGCTATATCATTTTCCCTTTATGTCCTCTGATGTAGATTTGTATCTTTAAACCTTGTCTCCAAGAGCTGATTCAAATAATATAAACTAGATATCACCAGCAAAAAAACAACAAAATATCTAATCCAAACTACATTTCAATTAGGAAAATTACTAAATTAAAACACATTCAATTGACTTTGCAGGTTTTTTATTATTGACATTTCATTTGAATGTTTTTTCTGAGAAGTTAAACTTCACATAAACATATTTTTGTAAAGCACTAGAGCGATCTGGAGTCAAACCCAAACTAACGACAAAAATTCAGTTTAGCTTTTTACCAGACCACAGACCTGGCATGCAGGTATTGTTACACACTGAGGCTAACAGGTGGTGTAAGAGTCGTTACAGTGGTGACTGAAGTGGTAGGGCTGTCGCAGTCTTTGTGACTCAGATGTGCATCTCAAGTTTCTGACCTGATCACAGGGCTGTTGTCACTGAGGTAAACTTATCCATCAAGCCACACGACCCTCTCTTTGTCATTATAATCAGCATAAGAAAGATCATCCCTCTGCACCTGCGCCTGTCTGTCTGTCTGTCCATCTATCTGAACACTCTGATTTGGAAAAAACACCATCAAACTTTAGTTTATGTGGATGTCAGCCACTACTCACCCTAACCAGAAAAAAATCTAATGTATGAACCAGTCACAAAGTCATTTCAAACTTCCAGTGCATGCTGGAATGTGGAGCTGAGGGCGCACTGCTTGTGTGTGCTTTAGCTGAGTGATCTACAGTCCCTGTGAACTGTGATTTCTTCAACTGACCAGAGCAAAAGCTGTCATGTGTGTACTTGTGCACATGTGTGTGTAGCTGGTGTGATGGCGATGATGTGAGGGTTCCCACGATGGCCATCCATCCATTTCTTGGCACACACACACACAGAGGCCATATGGCCATCTCATACTCCTCGCATGCCACCACTGTGATTTGGCTCTGGAAGCAACCAGATTTCAACTACATAGGCATTCGGCTCCCCGGGCTGGCGGACAGAGCGGGATGGGAGGCAGGCTGGGGGATGACTGCAGCGTGAGGGGAACCCAGACCCACAGGCAGGGAATGTAAAAGCAGAAATAATGAGACTGTATGGAGCAATAGTGATGAGAGAAGCCATTTGGTAGTGGGTTAGTGTTGTGGTGTTTGGTGAGCAGATGGCTCGAGGAGGGGCGTGTCTTGTCCTCGCGACCCTTCACAAATCACATGGTTCTCCCCTGAGGGGCTCGCGACTCTCCGTTCAATGGAAATCAATGGGAATTACTTCACGAGAGAAAGGGATGAATGGGCGGCGGGGCGTGAGACCTCTTCCTTTGTTGTTCCCCTGCGTGTCACAGAGCTCCCGGTCGCGCGCGAGCACACACACACACACACACTCACACACACACGCTGACAAACGCGAGTACAGGCAGTTACACGTACACACACGGACAACAGGAAAACACTTCAATTAAACAATCGACCTCCAGTTAAACAATTTTGTAACCCCCTGTGCGCGCCCACGCGCGTGCACGCGCACACAAAGAGGAATCAATGGGGAGGAGTTTCTGCTGTTTCCTTAAAACAGAATCTTCCAGCATAAATTATTTTTAGAGGAAAAATTGTCGTCTTGATGTTGGCAAACGAGGGGGGTGGGGGGGGGTCACTCTCCATCTCACCATGCCTCTCAGTCACGCTTTGCTGGCGTAATCGGGAAATGTGTGCCACGTCATGGTGATGAGTGACTGATAGTGGACTATATTGGCCTAATACAGAGAGGGAGATAAAGAGCACCGGGACCTCTGAAAGTCGAGATGAGTGTAAATAAAAGGTTCCATGAGAGGGATTTTACGCCACGCCACATAGGAGCATCGCGGACTATTGACAAGGGGGCTGAAATCAACTGGTTAAATGAAACGAGCGGCGTGGAGCCGCGTCCCGCAAAACACGCACGCACACTTCGATCTGGAAGGACTGTGGCAGGCGAGGATAATAGTGTTAAAGCTTAAGGTTAAAGGCCTTTCAGTCGGCCATAAGCATGTAAACAGCACTTCACGAACACCCAACCGCATTAGGCATCCACACGCTGGCCGGGGGGGGGGGGGTCCAGCCAGCCTGCGCGGCCACAGGCCTGCAGTCCACGCAGCAGCAGCAGTACTTCGGCACTGGGTGTGTTGACATGGCCGGCTGAGAGCCGTCCATATGTTAGTTGCGAGTACGTGAAAGAGGGCCTTGTTTGTGGACAGCAGTGGACCAAAACAGTGATGCTATGCAGAAGGAGCAGCTTCAATTAGAGATGTTAATTAAGCCCCCACACCCCCACCCCTCCCCTGTGTTAATGTGCGTGTCTGTCAGAGCGACCACTCCAGTCCATATCCACAGTGGCATAGCGTTCTCTGAAGCAGGACACCTTTTCTCTGGCGGGCGCACCGCTGCACAAACACGCTTTTGAAAAAATAATTCAGAGAGGAACCCCTCTCTGTATCTTGGTTGCGCTGTACAGACTGAACTGATTGACAGGTTGGCACCAAACCCCGATTAACGCTCGGTCCCACAAGCAGCTCACGTTCCACTGAAAAGGGATATTATAAACAACTTAATCACAATCACATTTGGTCCACTTGTTTATCGGCCAATAACAAGTTTACCCATAGCTACATCGCCTTTACATTGTAAAACATAACACAGCAGCAGAATCGAAGCTTTCTGGGTAATCTTCTATAGAAGAGACTGTTCAAGTTTGATTAAAATACACCTTTAGTTGCTTCACTATACACAAAACAAACTCGTAATACCTCCATGCCAACAAGTGCGCATTCTTCCCCGCATTTTTTCGTGGCTAGATATACATATGCAAATTGGACAGTGAGTCCATAGTGTCATGCCAAAGCTACATACACTTGTGTGACTACACCACAGCCTAAAGTGCTTCATATCGTTTGTCTCGTGACAGTATATAATCTTTTACCTCATTTGATTACCTGTGGTTGATGTAATATTTGATGATCAAACACATAGTAAGATTACTGTTTATGCGACTAGCCATGCTCTCTTTTTCTCTCTTCTCTCTGGTGTTGTATTATTGTGGGAGAGCAGGTGCTGCAGGCCCAATTACCATACAGCTGAAAGCACAAAGAGAAAAAACTTTACTCCCCGTGACTCCCCTCCTCCTCCTCCCCTTCCCTCTGCTCACAAAGTCCCTTAATGACAGCCACGCGAGTGACACACCACCAAGTCTTTTTTTTTTTTACTGCCTCTACCAAATAGCAAGTTAGGGAAATACGCATACGCGCGGTGAAAACAGTTAAGGTGAATTGTCCTGTGGACAGTGCGCGCATCTGGTGCGTCCTTGCGCACTCAGAGAATGATATATGGGTCTTCTCAGGGTGTTAATCATCCGAAAGTGTTTGAAAATATTTGTTGTTTGTTTACCTGAAAGTTAGTTTTTTGATCAATTTGATAAATTGTGAATTTAAAAAAAAATCTGATGAATATTTTGTCCATATCTAATCTATATCAGTCATATACATATATATGTTTTGTACAAATTAACCACTTTTAAAAGATCAAATACGTCAAGACAACAATCAATGTTTATATGATTACTTACAGACAGTAAGATAGAGCGATTTGGGATGTGAAAATGTGAAAATGTGAAAACCCAGAGCAGAGTAACACCATAGGAATGCAACTGAGCAGATGGTCGTTAGCGCAGTTGGGACGGCTGGCTGGCGGGCTGGCCATCCAGGCGCAGGCCAGTTTCACCAGAATAACCAAAGAAATGAGAAGCCACCGTCTGACTGGCTGTTGCGCATATAAATCTCTGGATAGAACAGTGGATTTCGTGCGGAGGTTAAAGAATTTGTCGGAATGTAAATGGGCCCCGTGTGCTGCAGGGGAGAGAGGCATCAGGGGAAGCAGGAGTTGTTGCACATTTAACAGCTCACTAGCCATTTGGTCTGTCCCCTTGAGAGCGAAAGAGAGGAGGGGGCGGGTTTACAAAAGTTTTGCGCACCCCATACCTCCCCCCTCCTCTTTCTTTGTGATGGCCCCGGGGCGGACTTGTGGTGGTTGTGGAGGGAGGGGAAGAAGAAGAGCAGAGGCGCTCATTTGCATCTTATTACCCCTCGCCTGCTGGCCCGGTATAAAAATCGTGCGCAGGGCAAAAGACCTATCAGACTTACGCACTGGCACAACAAGAGAATCAGAGAGGACTGGAGACTAGTTTTCTGTTTAAGATCAGCGTATCATCAGCGATCAATTGGAAAAATAAACAAGGCCATCAAGAGCTGTTTCTTCAATGATTGATTGGAATTAACTCGCACATTTCCATCGGGAATTTCACTCAAGCCTTTTCAAGGGGATCCAGTTGGGGATTACTTTGCACTGAAAACTTTTAATTCCTTCTGCCAAATTTCACCTCACTTTGAAGAAAACTGAGAGACAGAAGACTCACGCGCTACAGGAGAAGTTTCAATTCATCCTCACCCTCACACGTCAAAAACTCACCTTGACTGTGAATCGACGGAGAGCATTTAACACTTTCTTCATGAGTGTTTGAGTTTTGTTACACGGACCTGTGGAGCCTTCATTACTTGTTGAGGGGCTGTCAACACAATGGGACGCCTGTGTCTGCTCCTGGTTGTCAGTCTGTCCCTGCTCACCTGCCAGGTAGGTTAAAAAAAAGTGTTTTTGTGTAGATCTTTTGTCCCGATAAACACTCCACCTGACAGCTACGCTGATGTTTCCAAAGTTACCCGCACTTTACCTGACTCAGTCCCATCTCACTGTGTGTTTTATAGGTTTTGTGCTCTGGCGTGTTTGAGCTGAAGCTGCAGGAGTTTCTCAACAAGAAAGGGGTGCCCGGGAACGCGAACTGCTGCCCGGTGGGCTCTGCGCATCCGCAGGGCCACCAGCAGTGCGAGTGCAAGACTTTCTTTCGCATCTGCCTGAAGCATTATCAGGCCAGCGTCTCCCCGGAGCCCCCCTGCACCTACGGGGGAGCAGTGACTCCCGTTCTGGGCTCCAACTCCTTCCAGGTGCCGGAGACCAATGCGGACAGCTTCACCAATCCAATCCGCTTTTCCTTCGGCTTCACGTGGCCAGTGAGTACTTGTAGATATGTCATTAGGGGTAAGATGTAGCGTAACGCGTTTATGGCACCTCCAAAGGAGTGCGACACCACTCTTTGACATTGATTCATTACATCCACAAGATTTATGTTGGAGTTTGTTTGTTTTTTTAGAAATCTGTCATTAAAAGTTTGCTGTGATATTTGCGCTATGCATTTTAGGGAAATAACCGTAACCACGTACAGACAGTGAAATTATTGTAGTCTCCAGTGGGATATGTTGGCTTTGAAGAGTACAAAACCCAACAGATGCTCTCAAACCCAACACATGTGAGGGTCTTTGTCAGTAGTGTGTGAGAGGGGCCATTGTAGTATTTCTGCGCTCTTTGGTAGGATAAAATGGGGAGGGGAGGAGGATGTGTGAAAGAGAAAAAGGGGGACGGTGGTGGTGGTGGTGCGGGGGTGGGGGGTGGTGATGGGGTGGGGTGGGGGGGTTGCCAAACGATTCTCTTCTCCAGCCAGCCGTGGTGGGAAATATAACATCCTCTCGAGTTGGCACATCATTGGCAGCGCAGCGTGATATTCCGCCTCGTTTAGGTTTTACGGTCGTGTCAGTGTGATGGCAGCGGGGGTGTAAAGGGAGCAGGTACCCGGCCTTATTAGGCCCCTAATCAACACGGGAATTAGGCTGTGAAGTTTACTGCGAGGGTTCATAATGGCCCTGCGATGCATCGGGTGAGGGAGGGTGGCCTCCAGGCTGAGCAGCTGTTGACTCTCTCTTTCTTTCCTCAGGGGACGTTTTCACTGATCATTGAAGCTCTGCACACTGACTCCCTGGACGACCTGACAACAGGTGGGTGACAGCCAGAGGAGGCAGCATTGTAACCCAAACACAGACAAGACGGCTATGGCCTTGTTTTCTTGTAGAGACATGTTTTACACTAAGTGCTTTCCTGGTTCAGATTCCCTGGTTCATGTTCTATCTTTTCTTTCAGGCATTTCACTAAAGAATAAGACAAGCACATTCAGTCACTTTTCAGATTCTTCATTGAAATATCAATAACATTTAAATATTGGCACTTGAATTCTATAGCAACGAGAGCTCATATTTGTGTATATTTGACTGAAAACATGAGAAACACTGGAGGTCAAAGTCACCATATAACATAGTGTGGTTTTGTCAGTTTAATGGAAATCTGAATTAGAATACTTCTCCAGTTTTGGTCTGATGACAAAGTTAGCTGCACTCATTTTACTGTCAAGCAGTGGCATACATAGGAGAATATGTGAGAATATTAACATTCAGATATCAGCATCCTTTATTGGAACCATTAAAAAATCTTGTATGCTTGATGAGTGTTGTCACCTCATTCTTAAAAACAATAATATGTTGCCATCTAAAGAGAAAATACAAACAAAACAAATAAATTTTATTTAGTAATAAGATTTGATATTTTCTGTTAGCATATAACCGTGTGACAATAAAAAATGTATTAAAAAAAACAAATATGATTCCCCCAAACAGAAAACCCAGAGCGTTTGATCAGCCGGATCACTGTCCAGCGACACCTCGCTGTGGGAGAGGAATGGTCCAAAGACATGCAGACAGCCAGCAGGACGGAGCTGCGTTACTCCTATCGATTCCTGTGCGATGAGCACTACTATGGGGATGGCTGCTCGGTCTTCTGCCGGCCCCGGGACGATGCTTTTGGACACTTCACATGTGGCGAGCGTGGAGAGATCATATGCAACTCTGGCTGGAAGGGCCAGTATTGCACTGAGCGTGAGTTGTTTTGCTCATTAATTGAAAATTTGTCATTAAATCCAGAGGGAAAAGCCATGACTGGGAGATGAAATGACAACATGCTGCCTCATCGTCTTGGTTAGGCATTGCTTTATTTAAAAATTCTGATGACAGCTGCTTGTGTGGTTGATAGAGTCGAGGAGAGACAGAGTCATTAGCGGTTGGTGTTGATGTTTACTCAAAGTTCCAACTCTCCAAATACCACCTAATGCAATAATAATGTATGCTTCCATTAGTTTTGGCTTAGATGATAATCACTTCCATGTGAAAGAAATTGACTTTTAAATGTCTAAGCTAAGGAAGCTTCGACATAATTTAAAAAATACTTTTCAAAGTTAATTTCCCTAACAACCATTTGCCTCTATTTACTGTTGGAGACTTTTTCCACCTCATAATGCGGGGCCCGTGTGCAACAGGCGTCAGTTAGTTATCCCATAGCACCAGAGGCCTCCATTCTAATGAGCCGCAGTGGCTCCTCAGTAATTCACACGCCGCGTGCCTTCCATTAGACCACTGGGGCCTCCTCGCCCCAAACCTCCTCCCCGATTGGCCAAGTGAGGGTCCCGTATTGTTATGGCTCGGGCCAATGATTGGCCGAGCAGGGTTGTGTATTGTTGTGAAGGGGGCAGCTGCTCAGTGAGAGGAGACAATGGAGCAGCTGTCTGGTGGTTAGCTCCACACAGACCAGCTGGCCCTGGGGGAAGAGTAGAGGGGGGGGGGATGAGGAGAGATGGGAGTAGAAGAGGAGGGAAGGGAGAACATAAGAGAGGAGAAGAAGAAGAAGAAGACAAGATGAGGAGAAGGGGAGGGGATGAGGGGATAGGTGGATGGAAAAATAAGGGAGAAAAAGGAGGAGGAAAGGGGCAAGGGGGTGAGAACAAACTTCTGACCCATAGTCAAGGGGAGAAAGAAGGCTTTGTGTGATAGCCCTTTGTGTTAGGAGAGTAACCATGTTAATAGAGGGAGCCTGTTGGCTGGTCCTTCTGTTTGGTGACCAAAAGTGCCACAGCTCTTTGGCTGTGTAAACCTAAAGGTAACATTTACTCCAGCATTTACAGCACTGAAAAAACAAGCACACAGGTGGTCAGAAATGAACTGATGACGCCAATCATCTTTCACAGGCTGAAAAAGATACAGAGAACAAAAGCACAGATTGATTAAAAACAATGATCTGATAATCACGATTCATTAAATTATTTTGTTTCCCTTCTGCAGCTATCTGCCTTCCTGGATGTGATGAAGAACATGGCTTCTGTGATAAACCGGGAGAGTGCAAGTAAGTTTGAAACAGTGAAAGTCGCATCCATCGTAATTTTTGCACCGCTCCTCTCTTTAACTGAATGTTGCATTCCCAGGTGTCGCGTGGGCTTCAGTGGGCGTTACTGCGACGACTGCATCCGTTACCCAGGCTGCCTCCATGGCACCTGCCAACAACCTTGGCAGTGTAACTGCCAGGAGGGATGGGGCGGGCTCTTCTGCAACCAGGGTGAGTTTGTTTACTCGTAGACTGAACTCCTTTTTGATGCACCCCTTTCCTCCGAGCTTCTGTTTAACATTTTTTGCTCATAATTCTTATCGTTGATGTACCCAGATCTGAACTACTGCACACACCACAAACCCTGTCTCAATGGAGCCACCTGCACCAACACTGGCCAGGGCAGCTACACTTGCTCCTGCCTACCTGGATACACCGGTGCCAGCTGTGAGATCCAAGTCAGCGAGTGTTCTGGAAATCCATGTCGAAATGGAGGCAGCTGCACTGTGAGTGTCACCTCAGTTGACAAAGTACTTCAATGTATAACCACGCCAACAAGCTTGTGTGTGACCACTGTTTACCCTTTTTCCAATTTAGGACAACGACAATGGCTACCAGTGCACTTGCCCACCTGGTTTTTATGGCAACAACTGTGAGTTAAGTGCCAATACCTGTGCGGATGGGCCTTGCTTCCATGGCGGACGCTGTGTGGACAACCCTGATGGTGGTTACTTCTGCCAGTGTCCAGTGGGATATGCCGGCTTCAACTGTGAGAAGAAAATCGACCATTGCTCTTCCAACCCTTGTTTAAATGGTATGTTTTTTTCTCTGTTTGTGAGCGTGCCTATGCCTACCATTAAACCTAAAGCTGGATGTAGAGGGACTAATCCTTTGGCTCTATCATATCTATGGTCCCCTACAGGTGCAGAATGTGTCGATCTGGTGAACTCCTATCTCTGTCAGTGTCCTGAGGGGTTTTCAGGTCCTAACTGTGAAGTCAGCAGCAGCTTTTCTGGATACTGTCAGACGTACCCCTGTGAGAATGGTGCAACATGCCAAGAGGAAGTGGATGGCTACACCTGTAACTGTCCCCCAGGTATAACAGTTTTCAACAGACCTCTTATTACAGTTTCTTGTAGTTTTGTATGAGTTTTTGACTCTTAAACTCTACTGTGTTCACAGGTTACACTGGTAAAAATTGCAGCTCCCCCATCTTTCGTTGCCATCACAGTCCCTGCCACAACGGGGCCACCTGCCATGAGCGTGGCGGTCGCTATGTGTGTGCATGTGTGCCCGGCTACGGTGGTCACAACTGCCAGTTCCTCTTACCAGAGGTTCCCAGAGGTTCCCAGCCAGTTGTTGATGGACCAGACAGGCGCTATTCTTCCTCAGAAAGCGGAAAGGCTGAAGATGAACAGGATGATGACAGCGGATTCCCCTGGACAGCTGTTTGTGCTGGCATCTTCCTCGTTCTTGTGATCCTGATTGGTTGCTCTGTGCTGGTGGTGTACGTTCGGGTCAAACTGCAGGACCGACACAGTCATCATGGTGACAGTGTCAACAGTGACAGCCACGAGACCATGAATAATCTGACAACCACCAACAATTTTCTACGAAGTGACAAGGAAGTGGGTGCTATGATGACAACATCAATTAAAAACACCAACAAAAAAGCTGATTACCATTCCGACCTTGCTGGGTCTTTGGGTGGACTGAGTGGAATCAGCGGGCTGAATGGACCAGAGAAGAATGGCTTTAAGACTCGCTACCCCAGTGTGGAGTACAACCTGGTTCACGAGCTCAGGCCTGAGGAACCGTCACTGCGCAAAGAGGAAGAGCACAACGAACCAGAGCCCAAATGTGAAGTACTTGATGAGTCTGACACAGAGGAAGGGTTTAGGAAGAGACAATACAGGTACGCAACTATCAAAATAAGTACAATTTATAGCAAATTTTCCATGTTGCATCAGTAAAACATAAAAAACTAATTCAAATTTAGCAGTCCCCTGGAATATGACTATGCATTGAGATAAATTGCATTTCTTAAGTTGCTTGTTCTTTATTCCACAGCGATGCATCTGAAAAGAAACAAGCGCCAGAATCATCCAGCGAAGCAAAGTATCAGTCATCCACAGATTTAAACTGCCATGCAGCAAGTGAGCTGCATTACCAGTCAACAAGCGACATCAAATTCCAATCCACCTGTGATATTGAACACAATACTCCCAGTGACAGCCGGTACCCATGTACCACCGACACCAAATACCAATCTGTCTACGTCATATCAGACCAGAAAGATGAATGTATCATTGCTACAGAGGTGAGTTCATAAAGATAGATTTCTGAGTACATTTATGGAGAACACAAAAAAGTTGTTGCAAAATCAGATTAAAGATTGACATACTTCTTTCTGTCTTTACAGGTATGATGATAGAGGTCCACAAAAACCAACCCTGAGCAGTAGAGCTCAGCTTGTTTCCAGGAGGTTTTACTCCTGCTGTTTGCTGCTGTTCCTTGGGATTTCCCAGAGGACTTTGAGCCAAGGTGCTGATGAACCAGCGCACAGTTAGCTCCTTTTTGGCAAGGACTGAGTACTAGAGTAGTACTACGGGTGAATTCTGGACAAATCTTTATCTTTGATGGCTGCAGGTCTTTTTGCTGACACAGTGCTATGGATGAAACACCAGAAGACAGTATCAGCACTCCCTTCGGACTTGTACAGAAACAGTGCTGACGGAGAACTCACACACTCGAAGAAGACTCCTGGCAAACTAAAGAAGAACTTGTTCAATGTTTTCCACAGCACTGGAAGATTCTTAGCTCAAAACAGGATGAACGCGAAGCAGCGGAGCATTGACAGGGATGTCAACTGATGATATTGTTGTACCTTGGTGTACTGATTGAATGAACAGTGAAGTACATTTAGAGTACTGAGAACTTTTAAAGTACTGTTGTAGTACTGTTGTGTGCTGTGATTTTACAATGCTACGTAAAATCGGTTGTTGATATTGAATATTATCCATGTTCTGTACAGTGCTGCAGAGTAGAGTGTAGAGTTGTACCAACTTGAGGAGTCGCTGTATAGCTGGAGTCAGCCCATTTTTTAATAGTGACTCATGGAATCTAAAATGAAGCTTTCCCAACAAGACTACGAAAAGGTTTAGAGGGGAACTTCTGCAGCAGCCTGACACCTTTGACTCTACAGCACTGACAGAGACCACGCTGGCTGAGCTGGCTCTCAGCAAAAAGTAGAAAACTGAAGACTCCAGTAGTGACTGCAGATCGATCCAACGTGGATTCTGTTGGGCCATACTGGCCTCTGACCCCAAAAGGTTGTGATACACATGGCATTGTTTTGGGCAGGTCAACCTGGGAAATACTTTCAGCATTAGAGCACAAACAAAGGAAAATAAGGTGGAACAAATCAAACAAAATGCATTAGGTCACCTGTTAGTTTTAACGTTGTGTGTTGAATTTAAACAGCTGTATATTTTCAGTTAAATGAATTCTGTATCTCAGAGTGAGCAGCTGGTCTTTTCCCTGACCTCTTTATGATGCTGTTGTTTTTCCAAGTAGACTGAGCTATAAATGTCTTCACTGCCAAGACCTCATTGCACTATGGAGGTATACGTGTGTGTGTGCGTGTGTGTGTGCGTGCGTGCGCTGGTGTGTGTGTGTTACAGAAAAGGTAATGCCTGGGTATGATGCCAGTGTACGCACTGCCCACTCTCCCCACCCCCACACACACCTAGTCCTCCACTATTAGCCAATTCAAGGACACCATCACTCTGCCTGCCCTTAGTAAGGATCTTTTTTGTTTTTTATTTTATTTGTTATCTAAAGACAGATGTATTCCTTTAATTTAACTATGTAATTATTTGTGCTTCGTTTTTGTTGTGATGTTTTTGTTAAACCTGTCATAATTTAAGTTGGATTGTTTTTGTTTTTGGATTGTGTATGTAAGTATGTAAGTATGCATGTATGTGTTAGGCACTTGAGACCACTGTGACTGTGTTGTATTTAAGAGAGAAGCCGTATGTACAGAGCCTGTCATTTTTATTACTGGAAAAAAACAATATTTTTCCAAAATAAAGGAAGGAAATGTAGCACGTTTTGGTCATGAATGTGTTTATGTTTATTTTCAGCAGGATTATTTTCCTGAGGTGAAGACATTTCTAATTGATTATGACAAACATACTTTTGGACCAGCTTCATGCTGTGTCTGCATTATTACAAAGAGAGTTTAGTTGATGAAAAAAAAATTACAATCTAATTGGAGCCATTTTTACACTTGTACTTCCTTTGAAAAGTTGTCGAACAAATTCCGGCTGAGGGACTAGTTGTGGCATTTGTATGTGTGTGTGTACATGTGTCTGTCTGACACAGCAGAAGACTGTCTCCTTGTGGAACCACTAAATGAGACAAAGACACACCCCATAATCATAGACCGCTTAGCTATAGCCTCCTCTGAGGCCAGAGTAATTTCTGTGTGTGGATTAGTGTGCGCGTGTGTCAGCATGAGCACAAAGGTACACGATGTGTGTGTGTGTGTGTGTGTGTGAATGCCTGTGCCAAAATGTGTTTGTGAATGAACCTTTTTTTTCTGTGCGCCTCTCTACATGATCATAAGTTCAAGTGTGTGATCTTGTTTAAGCAAAAGTATATTTATAGCTGGAGATAGAAACCACCAGTCTGGATTTAGTCCCACTTGCCCCTGCCTGACTACTACCACGCATGTATTAGTGTGTGTGTCATTTCGCAACCGCTGAAGCCGTGTAGAAACAGTCATCAAAGAAACTCATCTGGCTTGCAGTCTTGTATAAACATACATAAGCCAGACTGCAAAATTGGATGACAGATGACCAGATATTTGAAACATTGAGAGAGAATAAACTATATTAAGTGTAAAAATGGAGCCAATTAAAATGCGAACATACACATAGAGGTTTTGGACTGGTTGACTGGAGTTAGACTCAAATAATTGTGTGGAAAGTCTACACAAGTACATACAGAGCAGCTTTCCCCTTAGTGTGAACAGTCAAACAACTGAAACATGACCTGATTTGTCACATTAAACAAAATTAGAATAAAAACTTATTTATCTCAGTAAAAATTTTCTTTTCATTTCTGTCAGTTTTAAAACAGCAACAATAAAAGATAGAAAACTCTTAGAACACTGTTTTTAACAAATGCACCTAAAAGTAAACACATTTTGAAACGGTCAGTCTCTCTCTTCGTCTTTGGCAGATTGCCTCTGCGGGTGGTTCAGCACGAATCACATGCTACTCATCCACACATCACTTTTCTTGTTTAGAAGAGGCACAATTATTCCACTGGGGATTATTTAAAAGTGCTTAGATTTTTTAAAATAGTAATTTTATTTTATTTTTTTACTGATTATGTGAAGTTTGGCGCTAAACAGAACTGATATTTTGTGAAATATGCTCCGCTTCCAGATAAAACTGGAGAAACTATATAAAAATGGTCCTCGGAACCCAAAAATAACTGGAGCATTAATAAACTTTTAATTCTGAATTTTGTAGTATAAGGATCCAGAGGTTTACTTCTGAATATTCTATTCATCCCACGACTCTTCCAAATCCTCTGATATGCATAGCTTTCTTTCATCTCTTTTCAATAAAATCTTTTTACCTGACATATTTCTTCTGAAGTGTTTTGTTCCACTCCTATATCCCAAAAAGATTAACTACGAAAAACAGTTGAGCTACAATTTCTATAAAGATCCTTTTTTGTGAATCCATGGAGTTTTTATCTTTGGCAATGGTATTCATTCTTTTGAAAGCATTTGTCCACCTGTCATTGACAGAGGCAAGATGTATGGAGCAAAATTCAGAATCTGAAGTTTGGTAAATAGGATAAGAGTTGTGTGTCTTTTCCAGTGAAAACAGGTTATTATATTTGCTATTCATAATCACCCTGTGGGCATGTTTCTGGTTGCTTCACATTTGATACCTCATCTTAACTTGACCAAAGCAAAAACCCTTTTGATTTTCCTGCTTTGTAATGACCCTTTATTCTGATTTTGACCATACAAATCTCTGAGACCCTGTAAAGGTTATTGGGGAGCATACTCACAGTGTCAAAGTCTTTCTCTTTTTTCTTTCTAAAATGGTACAAAACAATAATGATACATGTATCTTGCCTAAAGCTGAGAAAGGAATGTTTGAGTTTTGGCCACAAAACTTTTGAAAATGAATTCCAATTGTATTCACTTAAATTTAGATTTGAGTGAAAGTGCTTAAACATCTGGATGCCACTGTATGAAACTGAGGCAATTCTTCTTGACCAGCAGATCAAACTGTAGACAGTGGAGGTTTCCCTTCCAAAGACTGTGACTGTGGCTGTTCAAAAAGTATTTGCTTGTATTACACAGGCAGTTGTTAGCACATACCATGCTAAGCTTTTTAACTTAACTTTTTTCTGTGCCACAATAGCTTTTCGCTGAGTTGGAAAATCACAGGAGACAGGCTTAAAGCTGGTCCTTTGTTGCTGTTAGGCTGTCCTCCGGCCCCTGAACAGTCGCACAAACTCGCGTCCTCCCTCTCTGCATCGATCTGGTGTCAATAGTCAGACAAAGCCCTGGTCACTGGCTGCCATATGCTGTCCTCCTGCACATAAAGAGCAGCACTCTTTGAACTTCTGAGGGCCAAACCAAAACTTCTCCATCGTCAAATAAATAATGATAATAATAATAATTTAGTCACTCCTCATATTCATATCTTTCATCTGCCTTAGGAGGCATTTATCTCTTAGCCAAAGACAGATCATTTAGTTTGCCTCTTTTCGCTCTTCAAGGATGTTCTTATACAGTAGGATTCAGAGCTGTCCTTAATGGGTACCCAAATTGATTTTTTTGTGACTTTTAAAACAGCACAAAATGGAAACACATATATTTTTTTTAGAGATCTCTAGATAATGCTTTGGATAATATATGGTCTGTTTCCCTCTGTCTCTCCTCTCATACACTTTTCATTCTGACAGGGGGTAGGCAGAACCGTAGCTAATCCAGAGAACAGCCTGTTTAAGTGTGTCTCTGCTATAATCTGATTAATCTGTCCATTCATTCACTCCTCTCTTCTCTCCCGTTGCAGAGCTTTTAGAGCATTTAGGTGTGTGTCAGTGTGTTTCTCTGTGTGTAAACATGCATGTCAGTGCCTGCTGGTGTGTGTATATGCGGGTCTATGTATGTGTGACAGAGACAGAGAGATATTGTTTGGAAGAGGGTAACAAGGGAGGAAGAAAAAAGCTCAAACTTGGCCACTGACCCTCCTTTTGTGTGTTGTGGACTGGTCACCTGTCATGCACACACACATACACACACACACACACACAGGCACAAATGTTATTCCTGAAAGTAGTTGAAACTGGGATCCCTTTACTAGCCAAAGCTTTCACGGATCGACACGTCTCAGGTTCAGTCACCTTTTCCTTACCCTTGCTTATCTCCAGCCATCTTTCCCATTAAGACATAAAATTCCCATTTCCTATTAAATGCTTTAAGGTATTTTAGATGTTTAAAGTCTTTAGAGGAATGAAGGAAGGAAGTGATTGGTCCCAAGTTCATCCTGCAGCATGACAATGAGCCCACACATTGAGCCAGAGTCATAAAGGTGGTTGTAAAAGTTCTGTAGCAGAACAAGATGTCCTGCAACAGATGGCTTGGCCCCCACAGAGCTCCAGTCTCATCATGAGCAACTCAGTCTGGGACTATAGACAGCAATAATGTGACGGGCTCTGTAAAATACTTGGGTAAAATCTACATAAAACAGCTTTTCCATTTTGAGAGCAAAGTGTGATCACACTTTTTTTCTTTGAACAGAATTTGTTTATAATATCTTCTCACCACATTATTTTACAAACCATTACTCCACACCTATATATGGTGAAGGGACAAATCTAAAAGAAGCCCACACAAATTATGCCTTTAAACACATAAAAACAACTACTGAATGTTTCATCAATAACTTGTTCTCCATCTTAGCTTGCCTCAAGATGCCCTCTCGAATTAGATCCACAGAAATCATGTTGATTTCATTCCATAAACTTTGGGATTTTCTAGAAAGACTCAAGTGCATTTGCTCAGCAACAACTTTAAACTCAGTACGGAGGAAAGACAATATAAACAGAAAAAAACTTTATTAATCTCTATTGGGGTAAATTTACCTGAGTCTATTTTGAAATTCAGTCATTCTCTATGTTCTTCTCCATGTTTTTCCTTGTTTCTTAGCCAGAAACAGATTTTTTTTTTCTAAACAGTGAAAATATGATAGAATGTATTCTTACATCTACAACAGAGCAACGCAGAACACTAGTTACAGGCATTTTAGACGTATGTCAGATGGTCTGTGTATGTCCCCTCATATATGTAGGCCATTTCTTTTGGGAGTAAAATGTGATGGACGGCAGTTGACTTCCATTGTTTTAAGTAGCTTCAGAAGACAAAATGTGTTGAATCACATTTTAGATACACTGAAAGTTATCCACAGATAGAACTCTCAGTTCTGAAGCTAAAATGTTTACTATCACGGGATGTCATACGAGTAAAATGTGTCACAGAGTCGTCCTTATCACAGCACGACGTAAATGGAAAACCTGTCCTTCTCTAGACACCTTCCCTTTTCAGCTGCGTCGTAATAGTCATCTGCTAACTTTGTACCTGTTTCTCACTTTGAGAAAAATCCTCGCATCCAAAGAGCATCACAAACTGGACATCTTTGGGCTGAATCTTGTGGGAAAGCAGAGATTTCTCTCTCAGCTATCCTCCATTGTTGAGTTGGAACAAACGAAGTGACCACAGCAGCCCAAGTCACACAATGACAGACAGCTTATTCAGCTACTTCATCTGTCGCTGCTCCCCAGGGACCGGGCTCTGATCTTTTCCCAGAGCTCCATCTTTCTCTTTCACCCCCTTTTCTTCCTCTTTTCATGATGGTCTTTCCCTTACTCTGTTAAAACTCACACAGCATAATATTTCTCCCCCCTTTCTTACAGTCTTGAATTCTCTGATAAAACCATAGCATTCTCTTTTAAAACCAAACAGAGTTCAGGAGCATTAAAAAACCAACAACGCTTTGTCA